ACTACCAGTTTTTGCAGTTATAAACTGCAAAAACTGGTAGTTGACACTAATTACAATAGAAATCAGCATGAAGAACAACTGAGATACAGACGTGTAAGGACAGAAGAAACTGAATGCACCCAAGAACGATAATAAACGATATGAAAATAAATATAAAAAATACAAAACTAAGTTGATCAATATTATACGCATATGTAAAAAGGAGTATTATAGTAAAACACTGATAAATAATAAACATAATATGAAGGGAATATAGGATGTTTTAAACAGTATCATTAAAAATAATTCTGATAACAAAGTTATCCTCATTATTTTATTGACAGTGGCAATATAATGAAAAACACTGCTGATGTGATCAACAGCTTTAATCATTAATTTGTAAATATTGGACCAAATCTGGCAGAACAAATTCTGCCATCTGTAGCCTGAGTGATACGAACCCTAACTCGATGTTCGTCACAGCAGTGGAGGGAAAAGAAATAATTGACAATGTAAATGTGTGTAAATATAAAACATCAACTGATTGTAATGATATTGACATGAAAATCGTCAAGAAGGTCATAGAAGGAACCACTAACATGCATCTGCAACTTAACATTTCCGACTGGAAAAGTTTCAAACAAAATTAAAATGGCTAAAGTTGTGCCGCTGAATAAAACTGAGGATAGACACCACTTCACAAATTACAGGCCTGTTTCTTTACTACCAAGATCAACATCACTGGCATCAATCGAATCAATCGAGGAGATTACAAATGCTACAGATCAGAAACGGTATGCAGCTGGACTATTTCTGGATCTCAAGAAAGCATTTGATACAATCAATCATGACAGATTAATTAATAAACAGGGACCAGAGGAGTTGTACTGAAGTTTCAATTCAAATTCAGATTGAGGCAGTGTGCGGTTGTGAGCAGCAGGTGGCAGCAGAGTAAACAGTAACATATTTGCTAACTAAGGAGGCCGATGAAGGCTGAGTCCAGAATCACTCACTAATTATGAAATGGTGGAACACACATGGAGTTCCCATTTAACAGTGATGTTCAATATATAGTGAGTGTTATTCTTAGAACAACTTTTTGTGATTATGTGTAGATTTTTGTTTATTAGTAAGATAAATATTAGATTTCCTGACAACAGTGATGTCGTGGAAAGTTAATCTTTTTATGCATCAGTTTAAGTAAGAATTTAACTGTGATTCAGTGTCTGAGCTGTAAGCTGTGAGCTCATGAGCAAAACTTAAAAAAAACAAACACTTTGGCACAATACTGTGGTTATTGCTCGTTACAGATCAACACAGGGTAATCATTCTGGTCACCAGCTTGGTCAAACCTGCCATGGGATGGTAGCCAATGTAGTTGTTGGCTGACTTGCCAAAAATGCTGTTTATTTGTCAAAGGCAAACGTGTTTTGTCTCGTCAGACTTCATCCAGTCCAATAAACGACAAAGTCAACAGCAGAATAAGCTGTTATAAAAAAGTTATATATTTAAAAACACATGATCCTCTCTGAGTCACTTTATGGTAAATAACACTATCTGCAAAACACTGTGAAAGAATTCCAGATCACAAGTTTGTAGTTCAACATACAAGTGACGACCTTTGACCTTCACCAGGTTTTATTTAATTGTGTCAGAGAAACTCAAACGTGCTCTTCATGCAGCTGAGTACATCAAGTGTTTAAAACAGAAGCTGTGCAGGTCTGAGATCAGCAGCTCTCTGAAACACCAAACTGAGGTCCTGTTAATGCTGATATACAGTGACACAGTTACAGGGGTGAGTAATCCTTTTGTTTTTTGTCTTTAACTTTGTCAATAAAACAGTGTGGTACTTTAACCTTTGTACTGTTTCCATCAGTTCATTTTGCAGTTAACATGTGAACATGTTGGATGATCTGTCTGCTGTCACTGGGTGGTGCTGAGGTCTGAATCTGAGGGCAGCTCCTGTAATCAAAGAGAACAGAACCATCACAAACTCAGATATAAAGTTTATCTCTTAAATCATGTGGAGACTGAAAACATGCTGTTGTTTGCACATATTTAATATTCAGCTCTGCACATGAGCTGAAGCAGAGTGCAGCCTGTTGCATTTACAGTATAATACTTGTGATAAAAGTACAGTAATGATAATTAGTTACTGAGCAGCCCGGGGCGTTTCTCTTTTTTTCTTTAGTCTGGGTAAATCCACTCGCCTGCACAGATTAGCTAAACTAACTTTACAAAACAAGTTTCCCCGACAGCCGAGTGCTCATCTTAGCTAGCTAGGTCTCAGGACTTAGCTTAGGTAGTTACGGATTAGTTTACAAACACATTTAACTTACCGAAAAATAGTAATGTGCGGCTCGATCCTGAAATATCGATTCCTCTGATACCAATCATTTAATAAGAATCAGAATCAGAATACTTTATTGATCCCTGGGGGGAATTATTTTTTGTTATTTTTTGTTACAGTGCTCCATTATAAACCAACATTAAGATAAGACAGACAATACGCTAACTAAGAATAGTACAGAATATACATATATATACATACATGAGTCACTCATAAATAAATTTATGTTCTAGAATCAATTCTCACAACAAATAAAACACTGAAAAAGCCAAACAATAACATTCTTAAGTTATCAGAATGACTTATCATGTTTAACCTGAGTAGTGAAAGCCCGCGGGGGTTTGAAGACGATGTGTCGGCTCAGATATTTGAAGTTCACACAGCTACATTCTCACCTGAAAATATGTTAAAAGTTTTTTTGCGACCCAGAAAGAGAAATAAGAGTAATATTAAAACTAAGTCGCTGCCGCCATTGTTGGAAACCGGAATTGGCTGGGCCGCGCTATGAATTCTGCGATATGGTTTTTCTATTTTGTTGTCCGGGTGGACAATCGGGAGAAATTCGGGAGAATGGTGGCTCCGGGAGATTTTCGGGAGGGGCACTGAAATTCGGGATTCTCCTGGAAAAATCAGGAGGGTTGACATGTATGGTTGTGGCAACACCACTAACCATGTCAAACACCTCAGAGTAAATCATATCACAGAATATGATGAGCCTATGTTGAGACGAACTGAAGAGGAGGACAGGGACAGGTGCTCTCACTGAGTCCTTTAGTGCTGCAGGCGGGCAACGTGTTCAAATAGGCACAACTTTAGTTTTTTTATTTCTATATGACGAACTCTGCATTATTAAGTGATAAGAACAAGTAATCTGATGTCCTGTAATCATAATGATGTTATCATTTGAGATACAATAAATAAAATACGTTTTTGTACAAAGTATCGGTATCGGATCAGTATCGTCGATACCACCCTGAATATTACTTGGTATCGGATCGGAAAGAAAATCAGTGGTATCGCACATCACTACCGGGGCCTCGGGTCCTTCTGTCCAGTTTACTGAAGAACACCTCAGGCTGTCAGGTTAAAACACTCGGTCATGTTTTCGTAGCGTAAACGCTGGCACTCCTCTCAGAGCCTACGCTCTATCTGCTATTCCCGAACAGAGATACGCAAGTTTCTCCGTGACTGCAGCTGCCAGTCAAAGCTGTTATGATGACGTTTCACCCCAATTTAACATCACCGCGGTAGGAATTAGAATCAAACCTATGGGAGAGGAGACCCCTCGGACATCAATCAGCGTGATGAGAACTATTGAAAACAAAAGAAAGAAACTTTGGAAAAATTTATCTGAGGAGAATTAATTAATTTTAGTCTGACCCAGTCTCATCCGCTAACATGGAGGAGGCGGGGTTTATGACCTATACTGCAGCCAGACACCAGGGGGCGATAGAGACGTTTTGGCTTCATTTTTGGGGAGCTGTCGTCGTCCATGTTATCTACTGTAATTTGTCTGTAGAGCTGGTCTATGGGGTTAACAGCACGAAGCTGTGTCGGACTGGGAACAGGAGCTTGCATCGCTCCAGGACCTCTTTGGGGAACTGGTCGTGTACACTAAAGTCTGTTTCTTTCAGCTCCCTTCAGTGAGCTGGGTCACATTCTCAGTTAGAGACTTGACAAAGTCCCTTAGTAAGTGAGCCTCTGGATGTTGGCAAATTCCTTAGTCGGTGGTGTTGTTCTGGGGGAGATGCTGGGTGACTTCTCCTAGAAGACAGCATCTTGTTCTTGGCTGGGGAAGAGGAACTCAGGCCTTCTTAATGACTAGTGTTGAAACACCAGTCACTGTATTCCTGGAGAGCATATAAATTCTTCTTGCTGTTCTCCAGGGTTTCGGAAATGATTAATGCAGATGTGTGTTGTCCGTCAATTGTTTGGTGTAATTTAAGGTTTAAAAAGTGCTTGTTTAATTTGTTTAATGTTGAGCTTTCTGAGCCATGTCTCCAGCCTCTGACGTCACCCCAGGGGACATAGGGTGAGATGTTGCAGCGCATATTTGTTCACCTGTACTTTGAAGATAGCTGCTCGTCTGTCCCTCGGCGTACTTTTTTGATTTGGAGCATTTTAACATCTAGACCTACAAAAGGTGCGTGCTTTATATTATTATATTTATGTTTTTGTGTGGCCACTGTGCTTAATCTAAACCAGTTTCCTGTCCATCAAATTTGGGCACCCGTCTGTGCTTTTTGTAGGAGAAATCTTTTTCATTTTACTTTACAAAGGCAAGTGCAACGCAACTTAGTGATGAACTGTCTTTGTTGATTATGCACTAACTTATGTTAATGGTAAATGCCATGTAATTTCTGTAATTTTGTGTTGTGGTTTGTGATGGCTGCCAAGCTGTGAGTCTGCCTTCATTTTGTTGCCATGCCAACTGCTGTTTTTTTTGAAAATGTAGCTGCCGTGTAAAGTTTGATTATTTTATTCAGCATTACTGTTCATATTTGTTTTTGTTTGTCCACCTTTCATTCAAATATGATTTTTGGTAAATTGACTGGTTCCCTTATAGCCCGGTTCTACTCGACCTGAGCACTCAAAGCTCTTTATACAACATGCTTCATTCACCCAAGCACTTTTTTCTACTTAAGAGCTTTCTATCTAAAATCACACATAATTATATTCAGATATACGCATCGGAGAGCTCAGATATCGAGGATATTGGGCATGACAAATATCCTGGAACAGCCAGTGATTGAACCATGAACCTTCCGATTGGTATATTTCTTGGTCTACCAACATCTACAGCTACCACCATTTTGGGCTCTATATCTACAAACGGTAAGTGAGCTTTTTATTTTTTTATTTTTAATTTTTTAATTCTATGTTTGTGGGTTCTTGTTGTTAGGTCTTGTTAAAGATCTAATCATCTTGCACAATGACAATCATATTAACTCACAATTCTGTAACACATGTGTTGCCAAGTGGCATTAACTGCACTTAAACCCAATGTAAAATCAGGTGCCAGTGTCTCCTTTGGTATGTGACACATGGCTGGTTAAATGAAAACAATCTATGACGTTGATAAAACCAAAGTGGTCAGAGTCTTCGGCTATGTGAATGTTAAAATCCCCAGCTATACGCTGTGTGTCCGTTAAAGGCTGATGATGCACCACAGCACAATAAAAAGGATTCTTATTCCTGACTTTAATCAGCTGTTCGCCTTCACTGAACTGCAACACTTCGTTGATACAGAGTGTGCAGAGGATGGAAGTCTTTTTCTAATAAGATTTTAAAGTCAGAGGAGTGAGGCATGTATGTGTGAACATGTAAATGTGGATATAAACATTAATGTGAAGTTCTTGATGATAAATCGTGTCTTTATTCAGATTTGATTTCTTTTTTGGGTGTCATGAGTGTAGAGTTATACAAGTAATTGAAGCGTGGTTTAAATAAATTAGCAAACACAAAGAAATATCATCCTGTGGTGTAACACGGGAATTACAGAGAGTTGTTAGACAAAAATCGAGCTTAATCAGGAACGTGGAGAGGAGCAGAATTTTATTTGGTTACAGAGTTTTGAGCGCAATTAAAAAAGATGCAGTAGAGCATTTTAGGTCTGTAATAAAAAAAAAATCAAGTTCGTGTTTTAGTAAATTCCTAAATGTTTGTAAATTATGCCACCCAGATGGTGTTTACATGCTGTGGTATTCAACACAAGATGATCAAACCACAGCAGCTTTGGCTGAGCTGTCAGTCAGGAGCGGTACGTTCCTCTGTGGACTGCAGGGGCTGATGGGAGCTTTGAAGAACTGCTGCATATCAGCGGAGGGGGAAGACCCGTCTGATCTCACAGCTCGTCCTTGTTTGGCCTCAGCTGCATCAGAGCGCCACTTCTCCCCAGGTTCACCAGAGGAAACACCACTGCACAAAATGCTTTTCCTCCCAGCTGCTGCTCTGTGCTGTCTGTGTTCAGGTGAGTGTTTCCAGCCAATCAGGAGCCAACAAAGTCAACCTGTAACAAACACTGTCACACTAACCTTCATCTATCTGTCTGTGTCTCTACAGCACTGGTTACCATGGCAGCACAGCTGATTCAGGAGGATTTAACATTGACCAGGAGAGTTGGACAAAGTGTCTCCTTCAGCTGTGGAGATGATGAATGTGACTATACTGGTTTGATCTGGTACCAGAAGAAAGACACTGAACCATTTAGGCTAGTTCTTGTCGTGGATACTGATGATGGTAGAGTTGAGTCAAGTTCTAATCATTCCCAGAAAGATGATTTTTCAGTTGAGATTAAACAGAACAGATACCAGTTGAAGATAGAGAAAGTTAAACTTGAGCATTCGGCCACTTATTACTGTGCCTGTTGGAAGGACGCACCCCACAGTGAGAAATGATGCCTGCAGCCTGAGCAAAAACCAAAGCATACAGAGATGTCAATCAGAGTTTGTGACAGGAAGAGAGCAGTAAACCACAGCCCAGGTGTATGTATTTCTTCACAATCACAACCATACTGAGGCTGTCCTGCTCCAGAAATGGAAAGCCCTTTCTTTGTTGTTGCTGTTGTTTCAAGCAGCTATTACAATCTTACGTATCTTTTTCAATTAGAGCTACAAGTTGGTTGTGTTACTAAATAGGGAAAGGAATGTGTGTTGGCAAAACTGATTGATTGAGAGCAAAGCTCTCAATTTACTGGCCGATCTACATCCCTGCCCTCACCTATGGTTACGAGCTGTGGGTAGTGGCTGAAAGAAGGAGATTGCGGATACAAGCGGTGGAAATTAGCTTCCTCTGAAGGTTGAATGGCATCTTCCTTAGAGATAGGGCGAGAGGTTCAGCCATTTGGGAGGGGCTCAGAGTAGAGCCGCTGCTCTTCCACATCGAAAGGAGCCAGCTGAGGTGTTTCGGGGATCTGACAAGGATGCCTCCTGGGCTCCTCTTGGGTGAGGTGTTCTGGGCATGTCCCACCGGGAGGAGGTCCTGGGGCAGACCCAGGACACATTGGAAAGATTATATCTCTCAGCTGGACTGGGAACGCCTGGGTGTTCCCCTGGATAAGCTGGAGGAGGTGGCTGGGGAGAGGAAGGTCTGGGCTTCTCTGCTTAGGCTGCTGCCCCCACAACCCGGCCCCGGTTAAAGCAGAGGAAAATGAACGGATGGATGAATGTGTGTTTGCATCTTAACCCTTAGGTACTTTTCATATTCAATTTTCTTAGTATGGTGGGGGCCTGTATTGACTGAGGCCCAAGATTCCCTCTCAGATGTCTTCAACAAATACTGAACTCCTAGAATATTACAAAGCGGCAACCAATGGGCCGTGGAGCTGGGAGAAGTTTTTTTTGTACTTTTAGGTTTTACACCACACGTTTTTGGAGCAAAAACATGGGTTATCATACACCATTATGCACTTTTTACCTAAGACAAACACGAACCATAAATATTTAACTAAATTTGATTAAATTCAGCCTGAAAACTGATGTAGAGATTACTGATAGGGCAGAAATGTTTAGAGATAGTAGTAGTGGCCCATGTAGGGACTTCTGCTTTTAATGAGCAAAGCTGATACGATGAATAATTTCAGGTCTTCTGTTTTCTTCTACTAGGTTCCTTGACTGCAATGCAGTCTGTGGATAAACTGCAAGAAAAGAACAAGGATGTAGACAAGAAATGGAGAATGTGTGAGCTGTGGAGAAGGATCTAGAAAAAAGACTGAGAATAGAACTGTGCTACTGTCCAGCAGTACTAAAAGTGAGATTGTCTGAAGTAGGATAAAAAGAGATACTCAGGGGAGATCAAAGACAAGTTTAAAAACACATCACAGGCAGCACTTGGTAATGAAGCTTTTGCTTCCCCATGATTGCTTGTCATATTGAAGTGATGGTAGATGTTCTGTGGATCTGACAGAATTGAGCTCATTGCTTACACTTTATTTATCGGCATCTTTAAAGGTCCTCAAGGTCACCTTACATCAGTGCAACAAAATAAAAACATAAGGTAAACAAAAATTAAAAAAAAAAAGCATAAAGGCTAAAAAAGGTAAAAATAGACTAAGACAGTCATGATGAAGAATATGCAATTCTGAATAGATGGGTTTTAAGACATGATTTAAAAGTAGAGCAAGAGTTTGAAGTCTGGAGATCTGGTGGAGGACCTTAACAGTCATGATGTTATAATGTCTGAAAGCCAGCTGTCCAAAAACAGCCCAGCGGCTAACAGCTGAAGCTAATAGCTGACAGTAAATATGGCCGAACAGGTAACGCAGAGAAACACTTTACCTGGCAGACAATAGAGTAAAACAAACTTGTGCAACTATACTAAGCAATAAGTATAGAAAGAGAGCAGCGGCAGCTAAAACGCACCAGCGTTCACTCCCAGCGTGTCTGACACGAAGTGTTAAGTGTTATCGCCTAAAGTAGATTTGTTCACATTTTTGATTCGTAAGTAAATTCTTGGATTTCTCTTAAATTAACATTCTTATTTTCTAAGTTGTGCCTCTGAAGTCAAGCAGTAACTCAATATAATAAACAGTAAATGGCCTGTATGTAATCACATTTTCATAAATATTCATTATTTGGTGGCCTTTATAGTAATTTGTTCTCTTGGGAAGAAAAGTGACTGGACTTCTTTAAGTTTGAAGTGCACTGGGATGTCGTACTCGTAGAAGACTCCTGAGTTTTTCACTCCTTATGTAGACGGTTTATCAGCGAAATTCAGGAGAGTCTTCTCCCAGCATGACATCCCAGTTTACTTCCGACCCAGCCATACACTCAGAAACTGGTTCATCCCAAAGACAAAACTCCTAAACACAAACTTAACAATGTGGTGTTTGCTGTACAGTGTAGCGAGGAATGCTCAGACCTCTATACTGGAGAAACCAAACAGCCACTTCATGAACGCATGGCACATGGATTTTATGTCAGAGAGGCCTCAGTCCGTCCGAATTGTTTGCGACATCTCCCGCATCATCAGGCTGAGCCCAGGAGCTCCTCAGGGCCGTGTTCTCAGCCCACTGTTGTTCACCCTCCTGAAACACGACTTCCCTGCCCTGCACAGCCCTAACCGCATCATCAAGTTCGCTGACGACACAAACATGGTTGGACTCATCAGCAACAACCACAAGTCAGCGTACAGAGATGAGGTTCTGGCGACCTCAGCCAGCTACATCAGATCGTCACATCAGCTGCTATGATCATCAGAACATCTCTCTCTCGACTACACCTTCCATAAGCGCTGCATCAGCAAGGCCTTCAGCATCGTGCTTGACCCCTCACACCCCTCACATGGGCTTTTCTCCCTCCTCCCGTCCAGCAGATGCTACCCCAGCATCGGGGCCAGATCCTCCAGACTGTGAGACAGCTTTTCCCACCAGCCATCAGACTCCTAAACTCACTACCGGTGTTCAGTGTAAAGTGTATATTTATTCTTACTCTTCCTATATTTATTGTTGTTCTTTTGCACTGCTGTAACTGGAGCCTCATCGTCTCGTCTCTCTATATACTGTACTGTATATAGCAGAGAGACAATAAAGTTTACTTTGACAAAGATAGAAGAGCCACCCCTACAGGACAAGACTCAGCAGTCCATCTGCATCTAAAGGACAAAGGTCGCATTTCAAGGATACCAATGTTCACATTTTGGACAGAGACGACAGAAAGAGTGAAATAAACCATCTATGTCCATTGTGAATGACCATCCTTGAACAGAGGCGGTGGCCAACAACACCAACAGTCTGCCACCTACAGTACAGTTTTGAGATCCTGTCCCAGGCACCTTAACATCCACTCAAATCTTGCATTGATCGCATGGCAAGGTCTCACAGTAGTTTCACATGAAACCTTGGCTCATGTGATAAGGCACATCAATAGTGCCAGGTTTTTAATCCTAGTAGGAGGACTTACTTAGAGCTTAAAAACCTGGGGCTCTCTACCATTCTCAGGTGAGATGGGATTACCCCGACCTGCATGGCTGAGAACCTACACAGACAAAGTGGCAAATGGATAAATGATCTTCACAACCAGTGCATCCCTGGTTATGGCTAAAAACAGGAGAAGAGACGTGTTGATATAAATATTAGATTGAAAAAATTTACCTATCCTAGCTGTCATGAAAAACAAGAAAGTGGATGGATGGAAAAATGGCATTCTGGCATCATCTGAACTCTTCCATCTCAGCTGATCATTGAACAGCAGACAGGTTTTTGTATGAGTGTTTCTCACTGTGGAAGGAGGCTATGATTACGACATCTTCGGCTCTGGAACTACACTGTATGTAACAGGTAAGATCAAACATTTATTTTCCTCAAATACTTTCTGTTCTTCCGTAAGTAATCGAGAATCAAGAAGAAAATAAAATTAATTCAGTTTTGCAGGAAATTGAGTCCTAAAAGTCCAATCTTAGCTACACAGTGAATATCCTGACCTATAAAATTCAGCTTATTTACTCAGAATCTGCACAGCGTCTTTGTTCTTAAGAGGATTTTTTAAAGGTTAAATATAATTGTGCGTATATAGTCTCAAAATTTTAAAGAATGTTAAAAGAAATTTGCATATGTAATTATTATAATTTTATACATTTGATAGAAAATTGGATTGGCACAAAGTAATTCATATTGCCACGCATGTTGGATGTATAGTAAATGAAAAGTACATGAGAAAAGTTAATCTAATAATGAAAAGCTTTTGTAGAATATGCAAACGGGTTTAATGAGAGTGACATAGCACACAATTTAAAACTTCCTCTTCAGATTGTTTATTGTTAATCATGTGACCATAGTGGATTATTTCATGTCGGCTGCTATAACAAAGAATTTCCCAAACATGGAATAAAGTGTTTAACTTTTAAAGTTGAAACAAAATGTTTAAAATAGTTATTAACACTTTTTACTTGGAATGAGACTAAAATATATATTGATCAATATGTCTGTTGTATACTTTAATAAACATTTTCTAGTAGTTGCTGTAAAGAACATTTATATAACCCGTGATGCAGATAATACAGATGCACGTGCGCTGTGTTCTTTCATGAAAATGTTTTCTTTGGTTTTTTTCCTCTGAAAGCAAAACATAAACGGGGGATAAAGTTAAGGCTATATACTAACATAGTAAAACGTCAATAGAATAATCCTTTAATTGTCCCACAAGGGGAAATTTGGTTGAAACAGCAGCAAGAAAAACACAAATACAAACAAACGGCACATATTTTTTACATATTTACATCATGGGCAATAGTTACCAAAAACAGAGTGTACAGTTATTAAAATAAAATAAAATTAAATACAGGTAAGAAGCAAAATGAAACTTGAATGAAGGCTTTATATCTTTAGATAAGTACGGTGCCGTACTTATCTATATTCCTGTAATTTTATGTGAAGATAAATATGTTATTTAAATATGTAACAATTTTATTGAATTAATTCAATTTAATTTTAATTATGTTTTTCCGCAAACTGGTACTTTATAGAAATCTCAAAAAAAAAAAAAAAGCGAGCAAACACAGTTGCCATTTAACTGTATTTCTGTTTTTAAAAGTGTTTTTCAGTTTCCATGTGATGTTTTTTCATGTAGTTTCCAGATCAGACTGAATCCAGTGTATGTAGTGAACTTTGTGCTGATGAGTAGTTTAGTGATCAGAGTCCATGTAGTTTCCAGGATCAGACTGAATGCAGTGCAGTGCTGGAAGCTGCTGCTGACTGTGTGAATGTGTGTCTGTGCTGCTTGTTGCTGCTGTCAAACTTCAGATGAGCAGGTAGTGAAGCCCGTGGTGAGCGTGTACCCAGCAGCATCCAGAGCCCACCTGGAGGGGAACAGCTCCCTGCTGTGTGTGGCCTCAGCCATGTTTCCTCCTCTGGTCCAGTTCTCCTGGAAAAGACAGAAGAAGAACGGCGGAGAAGCGGAGGAGCTGCCCCCTGCTGAGGGAGAGCAGCTGGAGCTCAGAGAGGCGGGACACAGCGCCTCCATTTTAGTGGTTAATCGGGATGATCCCTTCACATACATGTACAGCTGTCATGTGAGACATCAGGGAGGCACAGTGGAGGCCCAAACACGACATGGTAAAAAAGATTTGGCGACAGGACATCATTGATGTAGCTTTGTAAATTTGACATTTTCAAATCTGAGGGCTGATATTTCTTAAAGCATTTTATTGCTTTTCTGTTTCAGAGCTCCTCTCTTATGTTCTCCAGTCTCAGTGCAGGGTGAAGCTGCTCTGCCTGCTGTACACAGTGCTGATAGTGAAGAGTCTGGTGTACTGCTGTGGACTCTCTCTGCTGATGATGCTCACAAACAAGGGAGCGTCCACCAACTGCACACATGCTGACTGCTTTCTGATTGGCATCTTTCACACTCAGATTTCCCCACATGAGCAGGCAGACATATAAATTAAGTTGTGGCTGGTAAAATCCATCCATCTTCTTCCTCCTGTTCGGGGCCGAGTCGCAGGGGCAGCAGCTTAAGCAGAGAAGCCCAGACCTCCCTCTCTCCAGTCACCTCCTCCAGCTTGTCCGGAGGAACACCAAGGCGTTCCCAGGCCAGCCGAAAGAGATAATCTCTCCAACGTATCCTGGGTCTGCCCCGGGACCACCTCCCGCTGGGACATGCCTGGTGGTTTGGAGAAATGTTTATCATTTATACCCTTCTCAAATATAACCACCTGAAAGTATAAAATAGATATGCAAATATTAAAACAGTCGTTGTTTTAAAGTGTAAATCTTTCATATGGAGTCTTCTTTCTTTTGTATAAGGTTTAGTTTTTTTTCTCCGTCAGGTATGCAAACTATCAAAACCCTGCACAAAGACGGGGAACATACGTGTGCTATGATCATTATAGTAAAGAGCTGCTTGGTTTTTTTTAAGGAATGTACATTTTTCTTCTTGACTGATAACACAAGAGGAAAGTTTTTTTTCTTTACATGACATTTGTTGCACTTTGTATAACAAGAAGGTGGCTTGTTCCCTTTTCCACCAATCCAAATGCAAAGATATATTCTTTCTCAGTTCTGGGTCCTTGTATAGTGAATATGTGAGATTTATTCTTACAATCACAAACTTGTTCTGTACAGATTCAGCACAGGTTTAAAACATCTAGCGCTTGGAGAAAATAATGACGTTTTCAGTGAGCAGAGCAGTCCAGCACATCTGTGTTTGAACCAGTTATTCAGTTTCGGGTTTCAAACATTCAAAATCTTTTCCTCTTTAAACGTTACAGAAAAAGTAATGGTGCCTCTTGGCTTCACTCCAGGATCATGCAGCTGTGCCATTCATGTGGGTTGATGCTTGCAACCTACCGTAACAGTGTAGTTGTTTCATGTAAAAATAAAGACTTGATTCTGATGAACGTGTTTCTCGTTTCAGTCTTTGATGCATAACGACGTATATGAATGTAGCATTCACATATCAAACTTGCTCTCCTGCAGCAGACGGGCTGTGTGGGTTTCTGCTCTGCAGCCTCCACACCGTTAGCTGTGGCTTTCACTTTAATAACACAATGACAGTTACAAGCATGAACTCTGCTTCAAGAATGATTCCAGGAAGGATCTGTGTTCTTCACCTGTGAGAGAAACAGCTCAAATCCTCAACTCACAGCTGACAAATGAACTTATTTGAACTTTATCATTATACATGTGTAAATCCAGGGTGATGAAATGCACTTTTAATTTGGTTTCATCACAAAAGAAAAATACAAAATGTCTAAATATTATGTCACAGAATCATTGTTGGACGTTTAACTGAAGAAGTGGATAAAGACAATGACACTTGTAAAAACAGTCACAGAAGCCAACAGTTAGTAGTACATTGTGTCTTTGATCTGGTTAATTATTCAGACTTTTCATTAATTTAAAAATTAAATAGTAACTGAAAAAATAAAGTCTGTTGTAGTTGGGCATCAGTATTAAATGCAACTCTGAACATATAATCAGTTATCACATTTCTGCGCCTGACTCTGCTAATTGTAAAAATTATCAAATTATTTAGTCTGACCCTGGTGACATAATAGATTATAGCGCATGTGAAACGTGCAAGAATATTAATATTTTGAGCATCATTTTTAGTTTATTTAACCTTTATTTATACATTTAGTCCCATTGAGACTCATGTCTCATTTACGAGAGAGACCCGTTTCCTCCAAACATGAAAATGTTTATTTACTGATGAAATTTCAAACAGATGTGTTTGAACTCCTCTGTCAGCTGACATGTAAATGTTACATTTGAGAAACTTCTGTTTCTTCTTGTACGTTCATGTGAGAGACCGAAGCTCTAAGACAAAATATGCAGAATAAAATTTTGATTATTAAATCTTATTGATTTTCTGATGAACTGCAGTGAATTAAAACGGACAAAACATGAAGCAGATGCTGATTTTTATTATTTATAAAAACTTTTAGAATAGTCCAAGTAAAGAATTAAATGAACATGAATGTCAGGGTAAGTACAAAAAACCAAAAACAAACTTGTCCCCCTCCCCATAAACCCCCCACATTGAGCCACAACACATCGCTTTTATTTTCACCTACTAAGAGTGTGAGGAAACAGTCAGTCAGCATGTGTGCAGTTGGTGGACGCTCCCTTGTTTGTGAGCATCATCAGCAGAGAGAGTCCACAGCAGTACACCAGACTCTTCACTATCAGCACTGTGTACAGCAGGCAGAGCAGCTTCACCCTGCACTGAGACTGGAAGAGCCTGGAACTGAAACACAGAAGATGTGTGTTGTCCGTGTCTTTAAGGGGATTCACAGTGGAACAGTCACCAAGGCTTAAGGGCCTTTTTCTGGTTGACCCTCCACGTTCCCCCTCATGCTTCACATAGCAGCTGTATCTGTACGTGTAGAGATCATCTGTATAATCTACTAAAATAGAAGTTGTCCGTCCCGCCTCTCTGAGCTCCAGCTGCTCTCCCTCAGCAGGGGGCAGCTCCTCCGCTTCTCCGCCGTTCTTCTTCTGTCTTTTCCAGGAGAACTGGACCAGAGGAGGAAACATGGCTGAGGCCACCATAACTGCATTAAGACGGCAAATCTGCTGTAACGAGTTAACGCGGACCGCCTCATGCGTGGGGCTGCACGGCGTCAATGCGTTAGCACGGTTAGCTCATTAACGCGTTAGCACCGTGCAGCCCCACGCACGAGGCGATCCGCGTTAACTCGTTACAGCACTAGTTACAATATAACAACAATAACAACAATAATAATTTTACAGATGAAATATTTGACGTGAAGCTTTTGCAAACATTTATGTCTGAGGCTGAAATCAGTCTAATGCTCATCGTTGTGTTTAATCAAATCACTTTTACTGTCACATCACATGTGCTGCTGCACTGAATCAGCACATGTGAGTTTAATATGTAATCAATATTTAAATGATAGTTAATCTGAGCGGTCACTAAACCCCGTTCGTCGTGCTGCTATAGGCAAAAGAAAAAAACAAACTTTCACTCATTTGCTTTCTAAGGTGCATTTTGCTTTCACCAGGTTGAACCTTGTTTTACTTTCATTCTTTGGGGCATAGATTGAACACAGCGTTGCAAACCTTCCTCAGAGGTTCATGTCCACGTTGATGATGACAGCGTCACACAGTTTGACATGTTAGCTGCACACACATGATGTGAATTTGCTGTTTCACCACATCCCAGAGCTGTTTATTTCTACTTTACAATCATTACAGGTTAAACAATGTTCTATTCCAATATTGAAACACTTCTGTAGAGATTCCTCTCCAAATAAGACATGTGATCCAACCAAGATCAATAACAGTAGTGCTGCATTAGCTTCAAAGTTTATTGCAATCCAGATGTTTGGTATTATAAAGAGACACCTTAATTTATTAATATACTAACATTTACTAAAACCGAACCTCAACTATATTCAGTCAAAACAGTTTTTATTGTCCTGCGATTGAGCCACAGGAAGTGTTTCCAAACTTGTCATCAAAATACATTTTTATTATTGCATCATTTTACAAGAGTTACTTACTGCAGAAGTTAATAAATGATTTTTGTTGTGTCTGTGATTTCTTGCTGACAGCTGCTGAAATATTAATCTGAAAAAGTTTAATTTCTGCAGCAACTTCTGATTGTGGTAATTAAGTCTGTGAGCTCAGTATGTTTGTGACTCTGAGATGGAGGTGAAACATGTGAAGCTGGGCTGTGGTTTACTGCTCTCTTCCTGTCACAGACACTGTTTGACATCTGTTCATCTGTTGGTTTTTGTTCAGGCTGCAGGGATCATTTGTTATTGTGATGATCAGCTTTGAAACAGGAGCTGTAGTGTGTGGCTGCGTGAACAGGTTTAACCTTGTCTCTCTGAAGCTCACATCCATTCTGTTTATTCACATTGAGAAATCATCTTTCTGAGGAAGATTACAACTTGATTCAACTTGACTGTCGAGTTTATCTATGTTAAGAATCGCTGTAAAAACTTATTTGTCTGGTTTCTGGTACCAGAATATTAATCTTCCATCACGCTGTTCAGTCTGTCCTCAGCTGAAGGAGGAATTTTCTCCAACATTCCTGGTCAATGTTAAATCACCCTGAGTCAGCTCTGCTGCCACAGTAACCAGCATTGTGGACACACACACACACACACACGGTTGTTTTCATGGTCTTTGTTAAAATTGGATGTCTCCTGATTGGCTGGAAACACTCACCTGAACACAGACAGCACAGAGCAGCAGCTGGGAGGAAAAGCATTTTGTGCAGTGGTGTTTCCTCTGGTGAACCTGGGGAGAAGTGGCGCTCTGATGCAGCTGAGGCCAAACAAGGACGAGCTGAAATGTAACGAGCCTTCAGACTTCCTATTGGACAAAAGACAAGACTGGTGGTGCTTATGTGCTTAAAATGCATTAAAATAAATGTGTTAAGTCTTTAGTAACATGATGGATTTGGAGAAAACAAGCGTCTATTTGACTGATTTAAGTTTAACGTCACAGTAAATAACTGGAAACGTTTTAGTAACCACATGTCAAAACACAGTTATGTTTTCAGTGTCTCACACAGCTGAATGAAATTAGCAATAAAAACATTTTTTCTCTGATCATTTTTTCTTTTTAATATCAACTCATACTGACCTGCATGATTGAGCATGAAGACATATCAGTTGATACATTTCTTACAGACCTTTACAATAAATATACACTTGTTTGTTATTATTTCAGGAACCAATATAAATACAAATATAATATTAATATTTTGACTCTACTGTACTTTGTTATGCACAAATGTTCACAGTTTTGTTTTGTTATTTTAGGGACGACAACAAACACACTGTAAGTTCACACTTTATAATATCTTCTGTAAATGCTCTTCTCAGTGGAAAATCATGGGTAAGAACGAAGGTCGAGTGTTGAGCCTGAGCATCGTCTCTCCTCTGATTCCACTAAAGTTCATTTCTCAGCTCTGAGTCCAGGACTTGAGCTGTTTCTCTCACATGTCAGGTCATTACTGGAATCATTCTTATCTAGAATTGGTGGTTGCAGCTGTTGTTGTGTTGAAATGCAAAGCCACAGCTGACAGTGGAGGCTGCTGAACAGAAACCCACACAGCCCGTCTGCTGTAAGAGAGGAAGTTTGATTCACACAGGTCAGCGTGTGTCACTGAAGGAAACAAGAACCAAATTCTTCACATTAAGTCTTAAATTACAGCCACTCTGGTTTCGCTGTGTAGTTTAAGACTCATCAAAATACGTTTTCTGCACTCTGACTGTGATTTACAAAACTCCAGATGTTGTTGGGTTACGTTTGCTTTACAATTACAATTTATTACAATTATCAAATACATTCAGTTACATAAATGTGTAAAATAATGCTCGACTATGTAGTCATTCATATGGGCAACTCATTAAATACAAACAACTTTGCTTGGACTATGTTTGACTGTTGATTCTGGATTTTGTACCTTAACAGTTTTACTTCAGATTCCTATCACAAACATGTAAAGGCTGAAAACAGGTTTGTGACACGGCTCTGGATGCTGCTGGGTACACGCTCACCACGGGCTTCACTACCTGCTCATCTGAAGTTTGACAGCAGCAACAAGCAGCACAGACACACATTCACACAGTCAGCAGCAGCTTCCAGCACTGCACTGCATTCAGTCTGATCCTGGAAACTACATGGACTCTGATCACTAAACTACTCATCAGCACAAAGTTCACTACAGTCATAGTTCATTTGTTTTCTGCATCATGCAAATGAAAATGTAATCAATAGGCTTTACAAAATCATTTTTAGTGTTTATCTTGATACAGATTCTATTTAAGAACATAAATATCCTGTAATCACTAATAAAAGAGACGATTTTCAGCGATTCAATGATTTTGTTTGGATGAAAGTTTTAATTTTAATTCATTTTTTTCTCTTTTTCCTCAGAGCACTTCAGGGACAAACAAAAACTATAGATACTGTTTAGTGTTTTGTGGACATACTTCTAGCTGAAACACAGCTGGAATTAAGGTGTTTTGAATTTAAATAGAAATATGAGCTCAGGGGAAAAATGATAGACACTAGAATATGATGTTGACCTGCACTGTATGACACATTATTGCCCTTTATATAAAACATCTTGTGGATATTTCAAGTCATCAACATCATGAGTCGAACATTGTTTGTGATATTTTGTGTGGGACAACAAAGTGATTTTTTTCATGCCCACATGTTTGGCTTTGTGTGGGTTTTTAATAGGTTATGACATTCAGACAGTAGCACGAGATAATGTGTTAATACAAGTGAGGCGGACCCACTGATGCTGATAAACAAAGACTGAAAAGTCTGTTTTTCCAAGATGGAACATTTTAGAAATTTAAATGAATAAAAGTGAGAGCCGCTGAAGGCCCCGAGCACTTGATCTTTTACTGCCTGCGGTAAAAGAAATGTAAAAACCACCCCAAAACCTGGGGGAGTGCTTTGCTCTTTGTTATATCTGTTTTTTGAGTTGTTACTGAAGTTTGTAGTGTGTGTTTGTGTCATGTTTTCACCACAGAGATGTAAATGTAGTTTAGAGAATAAAATAAGGCCTTCAGTCTGCACTCCCCACTTGCCCCGGGGGCGGTCTTTAATCTGGGAGCTTGAGGGCTCCTGTGTACGGCCGGGCAATATGAGGAAAATC